ATTAGGAGGCTCTTGGTCCTGGGCATGATCTAAATTGCACTCTGCCAGGGGTGGGTGGCCTGATGGGGCTGTTTGTGGTGGAACAGTCCTCCAAAAATGTCAGACCAGTTACCACCCCGGTGGAAGGTGAGTAGGGGCGCCTAAACCCCAGCCCCTGCCTTCGGGTGGGTCATTTAACATCGAAGGCAGTTGGGGGCCAGGTACGGCTGTGGCCACCTGAGCCCGTGTGGGGTGCAAGACCCTGGAGAGTGAGAATGGTGGGCCAGGCACGCTGGTGAGGGGCACCTGAGCCTGCAGGGTGTGTGTTTGACCCCAGGCCCCAGTGTAGGGGGCAGAGTATGTGCCTCAGTGGAGGCGGTGGGTAGAACGGGGTGCAGAGGGGCACCTAATGGCCTACACCAGGGGGGCAGTTGGGAGGCCCTGAAGAGAGGGGTGTGTAGAGAGGCCCTGTGAATGGTGGGGGGGCTGAAATGAGGCCCTGTGAGGAAAGGGTGTGAAGTGGGCCCCTCTGAGCAGGGGGCTCGAGGGTAAGCCCTGCTAACATGGGGGCTGAGTTAGGTCCAGGTAAGCCTCCGGGCGCCTGAGACCACAGGTGGGCCGGAGGCAGATTGGGTGGGGCGGCTGAGGAAGTGCTGTGTGTAAACAATGGGGCGAGTCAGGAGCCCCTAATTCAGAGCAGCTGGGTGAGCGACCCAGTGAGGGGCTAGCGGCAGAGTCACGCCGGTGTTCTGCAAACTGCCCAGTGCTCACACAGATGAGGGGCGCGGGAGAGGCCCAAGAGGCCATGTGCTTGCTGGCCTGGGAGTGCAGGGAAACAAGCCCCAGGACCCGCCAGGTGAGGGCAGGGTAAGAGTGACCTGCAAATGCAGGTATAAAATGTAGGTGCAATTAAAGCACATCAATGCACGTGTAGACACAACCTAGCACTAACTTTAGTGCCAGGTCTGCCCAGCTACTAGGGGCACAGGGCAGGTGCACTAAGTTTAGTGTAGACACCTGTCAAAAATCGCTTAATGCACATTAAATTTAGTCGCGTTTAAATGCATGTGAAGACGCACCCAATACGAACTGTTTTACTCTTCTCTTTATGATGCGATTTTGCTACCCTTAAAGCAAGTTCAGTGGGGAGGGGGAGGAGTTGCAGATACAACATTCTCATCTCTCACTTTTTTCTGACCAAGAAAAATAAAGGCTGCTTTAATAGAAAGGAGTTTTGTAAATGAGTTAAGACTGATAGTAGTAAGAGACATTCTGTTTTAACTTTCAGGTATGTGCAGAAGAAACTTTGGAAGGTCTTTTTAAGCGTTCAAAACCAACCACTGAGAGTTAAACTCCTGTCTCCAAACACCACAGAGAACATATTTGGATAAGCAAGTCAGCTGTTACAAACAGTGCCCTCTTGTGACAAGATACTAGAAATATGCACTCCCATTTCCAGAAGTAGTCACTGATTGGTATGTCCCAACTACATGGCAAATGACATGCTCCTTGTAGACACTGTCTACTGATAAGTCTCCAGGGTTTTTTTGAAGATATTCTTAGCAGAAATAGTGAAGTCAGACTAGGTGCTGTAGAAAACAAGTCATGGTTTTACTGAAAAGACACTTCTAGGTAAGAAAAATTAAATTGCAAAATATATTATTATACTTATGATAGTCTTTCCACTGCAAAATATTTGCAAAGTATTTAACAATTACTTTCATTGAATCAAAGACCAGTGAGACTAGCTGTCATTTTTGTTAAACACGTTCAAATTGATACTATTCATTTTACAATTCCAGTGTCTTGCCTATCTATGTCCTTAAAGCAGGGGAGGGCAATTATTTTGGGTGGAGGGTTGCTTACTGAGTTTTGGCAAGCCATCAAGGGCTGCATGAGTAGCCCCACCTCTTTTCAGGTGACCCACACCCTGGTCACCATGTGACTGGAAGTCTTGCCTCCTAACCCCTGACCTTTGCCACCAGAAGTCCCTCTCCTTCCCCCTGGAATTATTCCTTTCAGCAAGGGGTTTCACCATCTCTGAACCAGAAAAATACCAAATTACGTTCTAAAAATCAAACATGTACTACAACATTGATTAATTCCATTTAAAAAAATATTTTTCTCCTGATTTCTATGTGTTTGTGTAGTGTACATAGAAGTGATAGTACAATAGCTTAAAGTGAACTCTTACTCTTGTATATTGTGGGAGGGTGTGGGTAGGAGGGTGCTATAGGTTTGTCAGCATATAGGAGGGGTGTATATGAGGGGATTTGTGAGGAGTGGAGAAGTGTGTGGGGTGTTGGTGAGGGTGGCTGGGGAGGGTTGTGTCTTATGTGGAGGGGGGAGGGTTTGCTCACAGCCTGCCCCTGCCAGCACTCCTACAAGCCTGGGCTCTGTGCTCCTGCCACTTCTGGCCCTGGGGCACTGGTGCAGATTCCATGCTCCTGCTTGCTGCCACTTGCCCCCTGCCTGCCACTGCTGTGCTTCTCCTGCCACTTCCCCCGTCCCCCAGGCCACTCTGTCACCACATCCCAGCTGCTCTTGCAGTCCTGGCACTGCAGCTGGGAACCATGTGATGCCGGAGTGTGGTGGGGTGAGTGGGGAAATGGCTGTGGCAGATGGGGGAGGGTGGGAGGGGGCAGTGAGCGGGCACACAGAGTGCAGTGACAGCCGGGCAGGAGCATGCAGCCCGTGCAGGTACACTGGGGCCAGTGCCGGCAGGGCCCAGAGTAGGGCAGCAGCAGCGCAAGGCCTGGGCCTCCAGGGGCTCTATGGAGCTGGGCTGTGCTGCTCAAGCAGGGAGAGGAGGACCCTAGCCTGGTTCCATAGTCCCTGCCAGCCCAGGCTCTGCACTCCTGCCACCTCGCTCTGGGCCTCACTGGTGCTGGCCCTGGTGCACTAGCATAGGTCCCACACTCCCACCCGGCTGTTGCTGTGTTCCACACATCTGCTCGCTGCCCCTTCCCCCTGCCTGCTGCTGCCATTGCCCCGCTCTCCCGCTCTGCCCACCAGCCAGCACCACATGGTTCCCTTCTGCAGCACCAGGGCCACAGGAGCTGGCCTGGCCAGCCTGAGGACTCAGATGATCACCCACAATCTTCCCCTGCCTCCCTCCCCACCTCCTTCTTATCTGTATTTCCCTTGGTGCAGGGAGGCAGGAACAGTCCCAGGCCAGAAACCTCCAGAAGCCCCTGCTAGGCAGAGGCTTCCGGCTGGGGCTCAGAGGGAAAACAGAGGGGATGGGACTGGCCAGATTTGCTGCTGCAGCTGTTTAGTTCTGCCACTGGCTCCCCCTGGGTTCCACTATCCCTGTCTCCGGTCATTTTGGACAGGCAGACAGGGCCAGATAAATGTTAATTTTCTAAAAATTTTAGGGACCCCACAGGCCAGATAGAATGGCCTGGCAGGCCGGGTCTGGCTTGCAGGCTGTATTTTGCCCTCCCCTGTCTTAAAGCACTGGGTTTCTCCTTTTCAATAGATTTACTCTAACTAAAAATTAACACTACATTGAAGGGGAGGGAAATAAAATAAAATGAATCTCTTTCTCCTTGTAAAAAGTTGACATTTTAATGTCAACTACTGATCGGATCATTTGTTTCCCTAATCATTGCTTGGCGATGCTTTGAAAATTGAAGAGGCTATTTATGTACAAAATATCAGGTATTTATTGAACAGAATACAAAGGAAAAAATCAGACAAATGTATTATTGCCTTATTGAATGTATCCACATGATACATTAAAGCCCTCAAAAAAAGACGGGACATTTAATATGGCTAACAAGAATAGGCAGTGATGAGAGTAAGGACTTTTTAAAAAACAGAATCTGGCAGGGATGTAAAACCTCAAGAACCACCTGTACTTAACCAGTAATGAGAAGAAATTTTCCCTATTGGCAAATAACTCTGTAATATCCTACTGCGGGATTTCTTTTACTTTCTAGTCAGAGTAGACCTCATTCTGTATTAAAATGGACAACCAGTGTAGCAACTCCTACCATTTCCTATGAAATATTCAGTTTAGAGGCTCTACCAAAAAGGTGTAATGGAAAGCTAGTAAAAAAGTGAGCTGATCCACACTGTGTTCAACATTTCTATTTCCAATATTCCCATTTAGCCTTTAAGAACCCCAAAGAATGAAGGGTCATAAGAATGACATATGTAATCATTATTAATACAAAAGTAATAGATGGGACAGTCATTTCCATTAGCACTTCAGTCCTCCTAAATTTACTGAAAAAAATGTAAAGCTAAACTAGGACAACCTGATACAATGGTTTGTTTCCCTAATCATTGCTTGAGGATGCTTTTTAAATGTAAAACACTGTTTATGCACCAAACACTGGATGTTTATTGAACAAAATACCAAGGAGAAATCAGGAAAATGTAAGACATGCTTCATTACAGAGAGGAAACAATTAACTCAAATCTAAATGGGCAGCCTTGTAGGTAAAATGTAATTCAGTCTTGGAAGTGTAAGAGTCAAAGCTACAACATTTTCACAGCTCGATATGAAGCCAAATATCATTAGTAGGGCTGTGCAAAGCTTCGGTTACTGATTTGATTTGGAGGAGATTCGGCGTGCCTTGGCGGCTGAACCTCTGAATCCGAATCGAACTAGGAGACTCATTAATCTCTCCGAATCGAATCAGAAGCCTCCAATTTGATTCGGAGAGATTCGACGATTCGGCCATAGACACAGCTTTATATGTTTTTTTTCTACGTACCTCAAGGTACCAGGCAGCTCATTAATGCTGAGATGGTGGGGTGGATGCAGTGTCCCACGGGAGTGCCGGGGAGCGGGGGTCCCCAGCATGCTCGGTGACAGACTTAAAAGTCGACCAGAAGCACTTCCGGTCCACTTCCGGGTCTGCCGCCAAGCAGATGGCGGGGGGAAACTCCCCCGCACTCCTGTGGGATGCTCCATCCACCACAGCATCTCAGTGTTCATGAGCCACGCCTGGTACCTTGAGGTATGTAGAAAAAACCATTAAAAAAATCGCTGATTCTCCAAATAAGAATTGAATCTTCAGATTTGGATTTGGCCAAATCAAATCGGGACAGTGATCCAAATCAACTAATCAAATCACTGTCCCTGAATCGGGCTGAATCTGAATTGAATATGGCCCACTTCGCACACCCCTAATCATTAGGGACTGAGGTGACCAAGCTCATCCAATAAGGAGAGGGTGAAGTGCACAACAAGAAAAATACGTAACAGTGAAACAACCGGCTCCCTATGGCCTTGATTAAATCCTCTGATGCAGTCAGTGCTTGAGTAAAAGGTAAACACTCACCACTGATGGTAGAGAACAGTATTTACTGTATTTCTAAGAGCACAGATCAGAATCCACATCACAGAGACTTTGGAAAACTTCAACTGGACAGTTATATCATTATTCTCCCCCATCACCTTCTTCCACAACTCGAAGTAGCCTTTTGCAACGATTGATCCTATGCTCCTTGTGCACTAAGTGGCAGGTGGGTTTTGCAGTGCCTTTTTTTGCTGACCCAATAGATAGAAGGATGCATTTGCCTCATTAGAACTTTTCCAAGTTTGAGCTAGCCCAAGCTTGTCTACAATGAAGACTTTGGAGAGTGATAAGAAATACTTCACAAGTAACATATACAAAAATGTATTTTAATATAGCAGTCTAGTGTTTGAAATAATCTTTATGCACACTGGGCACATCTTCACATGGAATTACAGCATATGAATACACTGCAGAGCTTATTGCTCCAGAGTTTATTGCTCCCGGGCACAGGCTCAAGTGATGTGCCTGGAACAAATACATTCTGGAGCAATAAGCTCTGCAACTTGTTCATGCACAGCACATGGAGCCAGGTGAAAGCAGCCCTGGCTGGCTGAAGACACTAGGGGCCAGCCTACCAGCCCAGGGCTGCTCCCCATGGCTCAATATAATGTAAATTAATCTACTCCATCCTAATAGGGGTGCATGTGTAGACACCAAGATATATACTGCACAGCTAATTAGTCAACTGCATAGTAAACATCTCATGTAGGCATGCCCCCAACATAGCAATGAATCATGGGCCAGGTATTAGAGAGAATGCCTCAAGTGTTATTTGGGCAATATGACCTCAGCCTTAACCATGAAGAATACCTTGAGAACCTTCAAAAAGTACCTACAAGGCAATTTTAGTCTGGTCTTAGTGCGAACAAGAAAAAGTATGACATTTTTCAAAGCTTCAGATGTGTACTGCAACTATGTTTGGGCAGACTTTACATAAATCACAAGAAAAAGCTGGAGCTTTGTGTAAGACACTCCTTGCTCTTGTTTCAGTGGACCAAACCCTCATTTCTGAGTTTGTTAATCAGACTACTGAATATATAGGAGTGCATTCCTAAGCCTTTGATTTGTAAAAAAGGTATTTTAAGTAATCTCACTCTGACAGTACTTCCTGTTACGGTCTCTCAGAATGTATTTGTGTGGGGGTTTTTTTAGCCATTCTTGAATAAGAGAGGGCTTTGTTTTATAATAAAATCCGGTCTTCTTTTGCCAATTTAAAGGGATATCCACATCATTACAACTGTGTAAGACCTGTAGAGGGACATTTTCATATCAACAACATAAAAAAGCAGGTCAGCATCCAAGGAGAGAAGCATTTAATTGCTCATTGCTGCCTTTGGAAGAAGGAGGGGGTGAACAGAGAAATCCCCTAAAGTGCTTTTTTGGCATTGCAGAGTAGCAACTGCTTTAAAATGCAAACTATTGCATGGAGAGCTCTGTCTCTGAAGTAGGTTGCAATCAAAATTTTCATCCCACATAAAATAGCAAGTTCTTTTTCACCTTTTAACTAATCAGTCTTTCAAACTTAAGTTAATTGCCTCTCATTTGCCTCCCTGATACAGCTCACAAGTATTTTGTGAAATGTGTGAGATTAGTTTTACAGTTCATAGATTTAATAGATTTCATAGGCAGTAGGGGTGGAAGGAACCTCATGAGATCATCTAGTCCAGCTCCATACCCAAGGGCAGAAAGTCAGCTGGGGTCAGAGGACCCCAGCAAGATAATTGTGCAAGCACATCTTGAATGTATCCAGAGTAGGTGCTTCCACCACTTCTGGGGGAGAGGGGGAGTCTATTCCAGACTCTGGGGACTCAAACGGTAAAGTTCTTCCTTATGTCCAATCTAAAACTGTCTTCCAGCAGTTTGTGACCTTTGGACCTTGTTTTCCCTGGGGGAACCCTGGTGAACAGATGTTTTCCCAGGTCCTGATGAATACCCATGATACACTTATAGGCTGCAACCAAGTCCCCCCTAAGCCTATGCTTACTCAAGCTGAAGAGTCCCACGCTTCCCATGCCTCTCCTCATATGGCTTGCTGTCTTGACCTCTGATCATGCACATGGCTCTCCTCTGGACTCTCTTGAGCATCTCCATGACCTTTTTAAAATATGGAGCTCAGAACTGGATGCAGTACTCCAGCTGCAGTCATAAAGCAGTAATAAAGCAGGAGAATGATATTTAGGGTCTTGTTTGAGATGCATCCTTTCCAATACCGAAAACCATAATGTGGAGGCAATTTCCATTTCATACATGGTGTCTGCAACGCCCCCCACCCCCCACCCCAAAATGGGGTGATCATGGTCTGCACTCTGCTTAGACCCCTCCTCCTCCCCCCACCCCAAGTCACTCTAATGGAGGGAACAGTGACCAGAGAAGTGGAGGCTGGGGGAAGGGAAGCACCCCACCTCTTCCAGCCACTCCAACCATCCCCTATCAGGAAGCACCAGAGCCTGGATGAGCTCTGCTTGTAATAATGGGGCTGAGAGGGGGAGGCAGGAACTTGTAGAGGGTGTTTCTTCTACTCCCACTGCTCACCCTACCTCTTAAGTGCCCACCTGTATCACCCCATGGTGATCACAGTCCATCTCAGTTTAGCAGACACTTAAATTACCGAGTCTGACTGGAGATTCTTTCTTATACTAAGGTGGGACTGTAAGGTGGAATGGCCTGAGTGGCCATGTCCATTTAGTAAGCACAGCACATTCCCTAGAGACTTGGCTAGAGAGATTGCATCTCCCATGTAAGGTCTGGGAGCCATGCTACCAATTCCCCTTGACCTGAAAATAGAACAAGGTATAGGAGCAGCAGCAGCAAAGGAGTTGGGGAGAAAGGACACTACCAGCAACCTATAGGGTGCACATTTTATTTCCCAGAACCAACAGCAGAATGGGCTAAAAAGGGCAGAGTAGTGCCAGTATATGTCACTACAGGGTCCTACTAGGTGAGTACATCAATCACCTTACTCAACAACAACTCTCTATAATCAGGGCAAATTTGAAGGCTCAGGCTAGCAAAACCTTCCACGGCAGAAAAAGGCACTCTCCCTACACCTGGGTAGGTTGCTTGCTTTGCTTGGTACACGTGCTCCATTGTAGTCAAAGTAGTATGCATGCAATGGTGCCTGGGGCTAAAAGGGAGTACAGCACACTACTGCTCTGTGGACCTAAAAGCTGTGAGTTTGGTGTAGGGCCCTGCCCTTAGCAGGGAGAAGCTGTTAGGAGGCCAAGTAGGCTGGTCACCCCAGGCATCTGCTTTATGCACTTCAGCTCCTGGTGTGATTGCTACAACAGCACCCATAACCATAGAAAGAAAAAGAAACCTAAGACTGACTTCAGTAAACCTGCCAAATTGAGGGGTGGGACCATTTGAAACTCATTCTGGGAATAAAGGCCATTCTTATGGCCAAGGGCAGCATAGTGAACAAGGCCCGTGCTAGTGTGACACTGATGATGCACTGAGGCTAGGAACAGATGCCACACAAGTTGTGCTTGTGTTTTTCTTGGAACACATATCCCCCTTTCAGTCAAGGTCAAGAAGTGGTTGAAAGCACTGCTACTTTTCTACCTAGTACTGATTCAACAATGCAGCTCCAGGACAACTTTTCTGACACACTTCACAAAGTCCTAGGATAAACTGTTAGTACTTTTTTATCTCATGAACTTTTTTAGGATTTGTCTTAGAACAACAGACAGACATCTGAAAAACTGTACTTTATGCCGGAAGAAAATGGTCTATCCTGTAACAAAATATAAATACAGGTGGTAGGCAAAATTAGTAAACACATGGCTGGGGCAGGTCATAGCAACAGTTCCCTGTGGCAGCAGTTGTGCTTTACATACAATGATAGCAGGTGCTAGTCTCGCTGGACCCAAGCCCTGATCTCTGCTCCTGGCTTTCAAAAGGGGAGCATGTTGACTCCTAGTTAGACTAGGAAGCACAAGGGGTAGATGCATTCAACAAACTGGTAGCTGTACCCTTTCACAAATTTGTCATCTAGTGTATTGATAACCCAGGAAGAAAAAGATGGGAGCGGGAAATAAACACAGGTCACTCCCTGCTGAGATACAAAGGCACAGTCATATGATAATAGCACAGGGTTTACCAGCCACGCAAAACGTTCTGCGCAGAAACTTCACCTCATAGTAAAGTTATTGCACATTTTTCAAGGTGTAAAAGTTAACACAAAATTCCAGATATTACTTGCACATCACGTGTCTTATCAGATTTGCCCATGCAGTAAAGTCAACTTACTATGTTGTAAACATGTTCTGTGTGCACCTTGCAAAGCTGTTTCATTAACTACTGTTACAGTTTCCCATACATCCTTCTATAATTCCAACCCTCTGCTTATCACCTGCATACCTAACTTTAGGGCACAGGTTTAATCTTCCACGTAGCACAGTACAATTTTCAAACCCTAGCACAGATAAATCAGTGCTGAGGGCAGGGGGAAGGGGTGCCTACCTTTTGCAGTCAAAAATTAGTCATGTATTTACAACAGGATCATCAATTCCTATAGCCTTTAAAACAGTGTACTGATTCTGAAATATTCATTTTAAGTGATAAAGTACTGTATCTGTTTTGTTTTCCATCCATCCTTTTTACAGAGTTGATCCCAGAGAAACAGTTACTCATATAAAACAAGTCTTAAAATTTACACTACAACTCATAATAATGCAATGCATAACCTGTTATTTTCACACCATCCAGATTTTGCTGTACACATTTTAGACAAAAATAGGATTTCACTGCAAATAAGATTTTAGGTTTCCAAGTAAAATAGCAATTATACACTGTATACATTAGTAATTCATTTTGTTATGTACTGGGCATCAAGTAAAATATTAACTGCTTTTTTAAAATCTAATTTTGTCTTTCTAAATATTTTTAGCATTTGTTAGTGATCCCTTAGCAGGCAGCAGCTTAGTGCACTGTAAAACAGGCCAAGCTTCACATAAGGACTTCAGATTCTGCTTTCATAACACTCGTTGAAGCAATAAAACTATTTCGTTGTTCAGCTTGCCATCCATTCGCTCCTATATAATTTATTGTTCTGTTCCACAGAAGTTTTATTTATAAAAAGACACTTAAAAATAGATTTGTAGTTTACATATATCTACTTTTACGTTAAACATTTTTTTAAATATATTGCCCCTCTCTCCAAAGAAAAAATAGCATATACCAAAGGAAGGTTTGTTTGATTTTCACAAGTAAAAGATGAATTCATAGGGACATGATGATTTCTGAGGACATGGGGTGTGGAAGCTTAGAAGCCACAAAAGTACACAGCTAAGGGTTAACAAAAACCACACAAAAAGTAACTAGTTTAAAATTAGCCTCATTAAAAGCCAAAAATATTCCTTTCTGAAGGCAACTGTTAGCTAGAGAGCTACAAAAAAAAAAAAAAAAAAAACAAAAACAAAAACCCCAGAGATTCATCATCCTTGGTCCACAGAAATACACTGAGCAAATACACACAGCATATATGTTTACATTCTCAATGGACTAAGGAGGTTTCTCCTTTTACAATTTAACTTTTAACAATTTCAAAATCTATATATAATATATATAGATATATATCTATCCATCTATATAGACAGATATAAATATCTATCTATCTATATATATAGGTAGATATAAAATCAATGCACTTAACTTAAAGCTTTAGATTTTAGTAACATCATTTAGACTTTGTTTATAAAACAAACAGACACAAGCACACTTCCTAGAGTGCAAAATGCTTCAATACTTCAACAACAAAACATCACACTGTTTTTAAAATATTAATTCATTTGTTCTAGGAGTCAGCTCTTCCCCTTATCCTAGCATCCATTGCCAGCAATGGTTGCATCCAAACAAACTAAGGAGTACAGCAAATGCAACAGTAGAAATCCGCATACAGTTCCTTCTCTAGTCCAGAGGATGGTGTTCATTTGTACAAGCTCATGGTTGGGCTTTGATACATGCACATGTAAGCATCACAAAGTAATCTTCGTGCACATCCTTGAATTTTTCGAGAGTCCAGTGAATGCAGTTCTTCTAGAGACATTTTTAAGTACTCTCCAACTTCTGGGCATGGGGTAACTTGAGGAATGTTAAAGCCATTCTGGCCTCCTTTTGCAGAGAAAGCAAGGAGAGAAACAAGATTAGGTTAGGATCTGAAGCACTCCATTCATCATCATATGGTGCTTTGAGACAGACCCGCCTGCTCTTAGAAGAGCCAATTAAAAATCTAAACGTGGCTATTTGGGTTTCAGCAATTTCTGGAATAGGTCTAACACTTCCCATCCCTCCCCCCAAGACCTGCAACTGCCACAGCAGGATTTTGGAATCTTATGGAAACCTCAAACACAAATGTAAAATTAGGCTTAAATTACCTTCATCCTAATTATGTGCATGAACCATGAATTGTTATATTAATTGGTCTAGCTAGAATAAGGACTTCACTGTATAGTCAAACATCACTTTCATACAGCAGAAAAAGCCAGAAGCAACATCTTAATAACTTTCCTTCAGCTAATGGGATTTTAATCAGGTGTGCTGACAATTCTGCTCAGAAATAAATCCTGGTCACAAAAAAGTACTGGGTAAGAAAATTAACATCTCAATCAAATTGTACTGGATGCTGTCAGATTATGTTTTTATTCCTGTTCTGACAAATCAGACAGAAATTGTAAAGTGACACAGATTCTACTTGCACATCATCCAAGCTACTAACAGACCACCAAGTATAGCATGATGTGCACAAGCAACTGTGCTCGACTTTCAGATCCCAGGACAAGTATGTAAAGCTTCTGGACAGAAAAAGGGTTTACCTCTGCTAAAATAAACAAAATCAAGTAGAAAAAAAATGAGCTTCCAGACTGCTATTTTTCTGAGTCACTTTTCAGAGGGCAGCAC